TATATATATATATATATATATATATATATCAAAGGCACAAAGATTCAAATGCTTCAAAGTTTATTTAACTTTTAGCTCTCTTGACATTTACTTATATTCTACTATTTTAAGTTCTCATGGGTTCCTTTGCAAATTTGTTTATTAACTCATACCATTATATTGAATACAGATACTCATTCACATTACTCTTACTCTTAAACTATTGTTTTTATTTGCAACTTAGTCTCTTCAAAAAGTCCCTTCATTTTAGTTTATAATCTCATATCGTCACACTTGCTAATCACCAAGTTTTTCCCGCTTATAAAAGCACATTTTCTCTTACACAGCTACAACCTATGTAGGATGTTAACTTAATAAGTAAAATTATACTCATCTTATTAAATTGATCCTTATCTCATTTGAAAGCTAACAAAATTATCTAGAACTCTCATCGACTTTGCTAGTTACTAATCTTCATCGGAGAATCTAGCTAGTTACCTTCAAACCTTGTTTAAGAGGATCGAGTCTAGTAACACTGAAACTAACAACTAAAATTGGTTCATCTCAATCTAAATCTAACCAAAATCATGCAAGTTTTAAAGCAAGTTGGAATAAATTAATTGAATTTGAAGGCATTAATTTGCATGTGTTTTCTTTGTTCGCTGTGACTCTCATGTGGCGTGCTAATATTTGCCATGATGATGGACGATGAGTAGTGACTCCTATCAAGAACATCATTCTCATTCTCAAGTATCGGCAAGGGGAAAATAAAGTAAAATTATTATACAATGTAAATATAATATTAGTCAATGGAAGAATCATGAATGCAATGTGTAGTAAAGAAATTCAAGAAATTTAAATGTGGGATCTGAATGTTTAGTCCAATATATACATATAGCTAGTTTGATATAGTTTGATGTTATAATTTGTACATATAGTCTAATGGTATAATATGTATGTATTGTTTATATACTTTAAACTATATTAATGTTATGTGATTGTATTATTTGTTGAGCTAATAGTTAGAGTATGTACTCAATAAATGTGTCTGTGATATTGCTCTATAATGAAAAGTGTGTATGTTTAATATACAAGAGTGAGAATAAAATTTTATGTACTCAATTTTTACTCTTTATTCTTATATTCTATGTGTGTGTTTGTATTTCATCTCCAACAAAAGTAACCGGAATACACACATACACAAACTGAGCAGTAGCAATTCAATAGTAATAAGACAGTCGTCTGTTGGACTTTCTCTCACCTTCATGCGAACCAACTTACTCTTGTAAAAGCCAACCTTGAGCTCAAAAGCTAACTCAAAGTATCTTAAAATATTCTTTATATTAACCATGTTCTGCATTGAAGCTTCGACAAAGAATAATGTGTCATCCACAAGTTCCTATATAGATATATCCATCTAAACGTTTACCATTTTAAATCCCAAAAACATATTATGCCTTACAACATACCCCATCAAACCACTCAATCCTTTTGCTACAATTAAAAAGAGAAAGATGTACAATTGTATTATGTTGTCTCAACTTTTTTATTTGTGGTGAATATCTTGTCTCAACTTAAACACTTAATTTTGTGAAAACTCTTACATTTAATTTCTCCAAAAGTTAAAGTTCGCAATCACAAATTAATTTTAGCTTATGAAATAAGCTCAATTCATTTTGTCTTCATATTTCCTTCTTTTATAAGTATTTATAGAAAAATTTATTCACATAGAACCTTTTATAATCAAATTTGAAGCACAAATCAACAATGCTCATTTATGATTTTTTTATCGATGGAAAAGATTACAACGAAAACAATGAACATCGAATAAATTTTCATATACCTACTCTGATTCCCCGAAACCACTATGTCAAGCCTGGTGATTTCAATGCTCATCTATGATTTGTATGCCTTCCGATGCCTCCACACCCAAATACTACTACTACAAATAATAATAACAAAATGAGCGACTATTATCAATTGCTTAATTTGTATGTCTAATCCTCTTCTTGGATTACTTCCAAAGTTCTAGTGACGCACCTCGCAGATATGTTTGTATCTTCTCTTGCTGTAATTGAGTCAACAAAAGGATTGGGAGGAATTGTTAAGCCTTTCCCTTGGCTTTCTAACATCTGAACCGCAACAGCCATGGACACACGATCCACAGGGTGCCACTGAATGCACCATAGCCCCACAATTGCAAGCTTCTTTGCAATTTTAGCGTCCCCTTCTTCCTCAACACAAAGTCTTATGTCATCTCCTTCTTCCAGGAGATTATAGATCCAAGTTGGGTAATTGACATTGCTTCTGTTTCCTGATGACACGACTTCAGTGATCTTCCTGCCTCCTATCATTTCAAGAAGCACCATTCCAAAACTGTAAACATCTGACTTACAAGAAACATTTCCAAAACATCGAGAGAAAACTTCTGGTGCAATGTAGCCCATGGTCCCTTTAACTGTCGAAATTGACACTGCGCTTTGAGCTTTGGCGCATGGCTTAGCCAAGCCAAAGTCGCAGATTTTGGGAGTGAAGTTGTGATCCAGCAAAATGTTTTCGGGTTTTAGATCAAAATGGAGGATTTGTTGGTCACACCCTTGGTGAAGGTACTCAATTCCGTTAGCCATGCCTATAGCAATTGCCTCCAACTTTCGCCACCCGAGGAAACAGTTGGTGTTGTCTGGTGAAGTTATCAACTTGTCAAGTGAACCATTTGGTGAGAACTCGTAAACAAGGGCCCTTCTGAAACCTTCCGCACAGTAGCCAACAAGCCGAACCACGTTTACGTGGTGGATTCTAGCCAGCATTCCAACTTCGCTTATGAACTCTTCCCCGTTTCCCTCGGAAACTTTGAGGATTTTCACTGCAACAGTCACATCTTCTGAAATCCTTCCTTTGAATACAGTTCCATAAGCTCCTTCTCCCAATCTCTCTGCAAACTGATTTGTAATTTTCTTAAGTTCGTTGTAAGAGTATCGTGTAGGCGTGAAAGCTTTGTAGTCTTGCAAAAACTTTTCCATCATTGCTTCATTTGCCTTTCGTATTCTGTAAGAGATGTAAACAGAAATAACTGCAACAGCGATAGCTGCAAAAAGTGATGGGCCTAGAGTTGCTCCTGCAAATTAATTATAACTATTCCGTATCAAGGAAAGTGTCTCATATATAGCATCGTGAAGAAATAATCGAATAACATAATCTGAAAAAATGACCTTTAATTACTATTGGGTTTGATTTTGATGTACCTGTAGAAGATAAATATTAGACATCAATCCAGTTTGTATATGTAGAAAAACTAAGAGAGACGAGTAACACTAAAATTGTGGGTGATCGTAGCAACTCACTGTGATTTTTATTGAATAAGAGATGACCTTTAAATAGCCATTGTACAACGTACTGAATTAACAAGAAGATAATAAAATATCTTATCAAATCAAAACTTACCAAAAAACTATCTTATCTAATCTGAAACAAAATAACTCAAAATCAAATAATTCCAGATAACTAAATCGGATATCCCGGATATCTTGGATATCTCGAATATCTCGGATATCTCGGATATCTCGGATATCTCTAGAAATTTAAGATTATCCAACAAAACTCCCCCATAATCTTAAATTTCTCCTTCTTCTTTCATTTCGATGCTTCTTCCACCAGAGCGCGATACTCCTCTGTGTACCATGGCCCCGCGAGCCATGCAACGTCCAGCACCCCCTGCGTCGAGGTGGCCGATGCCTCTTTTGGGACACAAAAATACCCGTTGCTCTTTGGTCCACCTTTAAACCCAGAAAGTACTTCATGATGTCCAAATCGGTCATCACAAACTCCCTCTTCACTTCTTTAAACTCCTCAACTAGCTCAGCTTTACTTCCCATCTCACTCTTCTCAATTGATCCGATCTCCTCATCCGTTGCTTTCTTCCATCTTTCATCAAGTACCACCTCTTCAGATTTTATGTCTTCTGTTCTTGTCAATAGACATACTACATGTAACTCGTCAGTGGAGTTGTAGATGTCTTGC